TGCAAAAATGGTCCAGTCCACCTTTTCCGAACATAAGAACCACCCACCCATTAATATTTTTGTGAATCACATGATTATAATATATACCCCCTTCGAGCCGCTATTGGGTATTGATAGGGTATTTTGTATATACACTATCAATAATACAGAAAACAGAAATTTCCATACCGAGTGTTACGCATTATTATTTATTACCGAATACAAGTGGTTTTATTTTAATTTTAATAAAACCCATTGAAGAACGTACTTAAAGTAATTTTTGATATTTATAATAAGATCAACAATTATTGCATAAGTAGTTGAATGGTAGAAAATCTATTGAATAGGTCCGTTWGTTCATATAACCCATGATAAATTATATATTTTGGCCTAAAGCACGATCAAATAGAATCTTTATGTCAATTAAACGGACTATAATMAATAATTCCTAAATTTATTCACTATCCATTTATTGTARAGAAAATTCAAATTCATATTATCTTAAACATCTCAAAAAAATTACTTAGATTAGGTTTCACGTAGAATGATAAATCGATGTTTCAATATAAATGTTATTCAAATTGTGTTTAACGGCGTAATGTGTAGGCAAATATGTAACATTGGTGTGTTGAAATTATTTTTTAGGATTCAACTTACTTTTAAGGTATCGATACAATAATATTATTCAAGTAGTGCTATTTCAACATTAAATTAAATTAAATAATAATAATTCATATTACGTTATTTATTTTTGTTTTATCACTAGATACAACTTTACTTATTAAAAATACACTCATCGCAACTTCTAATTTTATTGTATTACTTGTAAACAAATAACTATAGTTAAATGCCACGATAAAAATAAAAATAGTTTCAAGTTTTGTAACGRAACCTAAAAAAAAATTCGTTGTGCTAAATTTAACAGTCTTTTTCGTTTCCCGAGTATAATTAATAATTATGAGAAGGCATTGAGTGTTTAATAACACACATATTATTTTTTTTTTTTTTTTTTATTGATCTTTATAGCTTCGGCGACATGGGCCATYAGCTTTATACATAATTTACATTATACTATTACTTACATACATATTATTATACAATTATAAAAACTATATAATAATTTAGATATTATTCTGTTAAAATATTACATTCACAAACAGTTATAAAATTATAATATAAAATAACTGAAACTTAAAAACAAATCAAAACAATATAAAAAGTCAAAAGTTATTTCGAGAATCTTAAGATAACCTAAATTATCAATTTCGTAAGCACTAGAATCATGTATCTAGTGTCATTTCACATTTGGTTGTCTATATAATCCAGATACTACTTTAGAAAAATCTAATAGGAAACAAATTATTTGAAAGTAAACAGTGAAACAGTATTTTTAAATTCTTAATTCCATATAATATATCTGCAGTATTCGAGGGAGAAGATACCGTGAATATAGTCTTTAGAATTTATGCTTAACCAAAATAATAAATTTATATTTGTATTCGTCTGAAATTTCCCATGTCACTTATCGTTATATTTACCTTACGATAACTGTATATTCAATATTGTAATAGATTACTTGTCTTAAATTTAATGATACGGTAACGTATAATAATGTTTAAATTTTTTTTTCTGAAAAGTGGCCAATGTTAATCTGATAATGTTAGTCTGGGATAGTAAAAATAAGTTATTTATTTATACCACAGATTTCTAAAGACCGAATCACTCACAAATATTTATATCCTTAACGGAAATGAAAACTTCACGAAAATTCTTTTTGTATTTTTGTTTACTTAAAATACGACGTGGTATTTTTTTTGTTTTTTACAATTCTTTCTGTTTGAATTAGCTTGACACGCCCAATTTTCTTGAAACTCGATAAACTTATTAATTAATGCGAAATAAACGAGTAGTGTTTTTGTAAAATAATAAATAACAAAGAAATTATTTACAAGTTTAAGACGAAAAAAAAAACAAAAAATATTCCAAGCACCACGTAGTAATGTACAGGGATGACAGAGTTTAAACAGAAGACGTACCGAAAAAAATTTGTCTGTAATGTAATTGAATTCGTCTTTATTGTATACAATTCTTATGTATTTGAATGAAATTGAATTTGGGTAAAATTGAATCATGCTAAAACTAATAAATAGAGCACTTTGGTCGAATCTCTACATTTATTTTGATCCATCTGTAAGTAACAAGCTATATGATTTATTATCCGTCTATGCACTATTGCAATAATAATAATATTATCACAGGCGTATGCGTTTGAATACATAATCTCAATTTATTGCATCGAAACGATTATTACTTATTTTCAAAATACTATAACAATATAAATATTTTTGGTTTTTACTTAACCTAATGGTGTAAGTAAATATTAATAATTTATTATTATGACAGCATAATTACAAATTAACTGCGATGGATAAACCTATTGCCGTCATCGCTCAACAAATTATGATAAACAAATTGCTAGCTACATTGTTTTACTTTCATAATGCACAGGCACACAGTTATTATTTTTATCATTAAATTGTGTGTTATTGTTTTTTAATTTAATACCAACAAAAAAATACCTAGGTGCAGTAAACAATTAAAATTAGATTAATTTCATTTACAAAATTTTATTTGCATAAATTAAAGAAACGTGTACATAATAGTAATGATATAATACTTTTATTTGGAATTACATTTATTCCAAATTAATCTTTTGTTGTCTGGTAATAAATTATTTTTATTATTAATTATTGTTTAAAACTCGACATCTTAGGGTATTGTAAATATATTTTTTATTTGTTGTARAAACCATAAATAACACATATTGTGTTATCATTTATTTAATAGTAATGATGTAGGTTATAACTTATTATTTAAAATATTATAGTACACACGGATTTGATTTATTTTTAATTATTTTTTTAATGACAATATTAATTTTCAATTTTTCGTTTTTAATTTTAGTGTTGAAATTGTTATGACTAATTGAAATATAATAATATAAATCTAAAAAAAATTTCTTGTACATCTAATAAATTAAACTTATGAGTGAAACTTACCATAACTGATACACGCCATTACTTATTGGTGAACATTTACTTTAATTTAAAGTGCAACAATAATTATAGCAACTGATRGAAAACAGTTCCAAGTAGACATGGGCATATAAAATTGTCAACATTTTGTTTAGACTTTATTTTATTTTATTAACCAGCAATATTAAAATTGTTTTCATTTTACCGAAAATATAAGATTGAAATCAAATTGCTTACTTTACAATTCATAATATTTTAAATACTTTTTATTACAACTTAATACTTCTTACTTGTTATAATTGGATAATAATACTATTTATTATTGTTACTATTACATTCAATTTGTGACCTTTAAATTCAATTAAAAAATTGAATTATGTTAATGGCATATCCTCATACAGCAATGAACGTTAAGTTTTAGTRAAAATACAATTTTAAAAACAATCCTTTTTTATATAAGCATTATATTTCAATTAATTTTTATGTTATTTACTCTAGGTTATCTAATTTAATATAAGTCACGTATAAATCTGGCTTAAATTACACAGTTTAAAATTGTTGTCWAAGTTTTTCGATTTTTTTTTGTTTAGTTTATGAACAAAAATCATTTAAAAATGTTTGGCTTTAAGATAATAATATTTTGGATATAGTTATTGAATAATAAGAAAATTAACTATAACGAGTGGGTTTCAACATTACACCTATTACTTTTTCCTTTTTATGCTAAATAATAATAAAAACCAATTAATTTTTATCAAAATCTAACTTCCAAGACGTGGTTTATGGGATTATACGTCAAATATTTTCATCCAAAACACAGTGATTCGTTAAATATTAATTTTCTGTTTCAATAATTATGACTATAATATACAAGTTAAGTATGTACCGAATTTTTATTTTAAGAATTTAATCAGTTTAGTAAAATATAAACGCAACTTTTATTACTATGTTGTTGTTTTAAGTTATTTAAGTACATCAATTGATTATTTATTTTATTACTGAATTTTATTATGCAATTGTTTGTTATTCAGATAATTTTAAAGAGTAAAAATATTATTACTGAGAAAATGTTCTAAAAGTTTTTCCAGGATTTTGCTCTTTACAAAATAAATTTCTTTAATATTTTGTCTAAAGTTTTCAAGTCATAAAATTATTTTACACCTCCCTGATTAAAAGTAATTTTCCACGCTATACAAGTTCATGAGCATTTCTGACACTTTGTTTAAAATGATGATATCCTGGTTTTGTATCAGGCGAATATAGTTCGCCATTTCAATGTGAACAGTTAATTTTAAMGTTGTTCAATTCTCGTGATAATCACCC